ACCCTGGACATTTCCTCCAGCTCCTCCAGAGGGACCCCAAAGCATTCCCAGGCCAGTCGAGAGACATAGTATCCTGGGTCTTCCTCGGGACCTCTTCCCGGTGGGACATGCCCTCCCAAGGGAGGTGCCCAAGAGGCATCTGGTACAGATGCCACTTCAGCTGGCTCCTCTCGATGTGGAGGAACAACGGCTCTACTCCGAGCTCCTCCTGTGTGACTGAGCTCCTCAGGGAGCACCCAGCCACCCTCCGGAGGAAACTAATTTCAACCGCTTGTGTCCGCGATCTTGTCCTCATGAGCATAGGTTTTTGTAGGTACACGTACGGTATGTAGGTACAACACCTTTAATAATACCGGGTTTCTCCAAAGTACATTCTTGGAAATGTGGTTCTTTTCTTCTTCTTCTTTTTTTTTTTTTTTTCTCTTTTCTGGCTTCAGAATGGTATATTCCTACCCTATAAAAGTAATAAGAACTGATTGCATTTCTGTATTGCGTTTCACAATTCTCATAGGGTCATACATCAGTGGGTGAAGTGTTTTGCCCAAAGACACAACAGTACACACTGGGCCAGAGTGGGATCGAACCTCTGACCTACAGGTTGGCTGACCGCTAACACAGAAAAGTAGGGCTGTATTGCACTGAAAGTCACAGCAGTAGTATGTTATCCATAGTAGTATTATTAATAGTACAGTAGTATATCATATTGTAGGCTATTATACATGTTAGATTAGCAGAAGACTAGTATTTGGACTAGTACTACTATTAGAAGTACTAGTCCAAAATGTCACTTCTCCCATGTAAAAATATGGAACAGTGATTCTCTTCATAAGATACAGAAATGTCAAGGCTGTTTTCAATCAAGCTTCACTGTTTCAACTCTTCTTCTCTTGTATAAGGCCTAAAACAAACCAGACGTTTATCCCAAGGAACAAAGCTACAAAACAACGATCCCAAAAGTGTGGTTTCAATTTACGACCATGATTTCACAACACTGAACACATCTTCTGTCGTCTGCTCCTGCCCCTGAGGTGTTTTCTGTTGCCTCATTATAAACCATGACTCATGTAATGTAAGGCAAATCGGAGACAGTCTGCATTATGGAAAACACGACAAGAAGCAATAAAATTATACCGGCTTATGAGTTGTTATTGAATTCATTAAGTCCTTATTTTTGACCTGGTTTAATCCTGTTTTGAGAGCTGTACAGTAGTTTTAGGGTGTGTTTAGGGCCTGGTTCAGGTATTATATAGTCTTGTTTTGATCATTAAACGTCCTATATTATGCAAAACTGACTCTTGTGAGTTTTTAGCCATGTTAAAATGCTGTTCCTTCAAAAAAAACAAAAAACAAACAAAACAAAAAAACAGACCTGGAGTTGTGTTTTGTTTCATTCACACATGTTTGAATGTTGTGTTCAACTTTGTGATGTCATGTAGTGGTAGATTTCGGAGGTGTTAACTGCTCCTTTTACCTGTAGTTCAAGAGAGATGTGCAATTCCAGGGCTGAAATTATCCAAATGATTCTAGTGAAGGTGTGTGAATCCGTGTATCAGTCTTTTTTCAAAATAAAACCAAAAATAAGAAAACGAAAAAACTACTATTTTCTTCTTTATTTGTCTCCAAAACCAAAATGAAAAAACAGATAATGATTCGTTTTTTCAGTTTTCGATTTTGTGTTTAAATGAAAAGTGGAATAAAATGGATGAAGGCCCGTTTCCTGTGTACGTGCCTAAACTGCAGTGCCGGACTGAACCAAGACTGAACCAGGACTGAGCCAGGATTTAAACCAGGTCTAAACCAGGACTGAGACTGGGACCAGACCAGGACTAAGACCAGGACTGAGACTAAGATCAGACCAGGACTGAGACCAGGAACAGGACCAGGACTGAGACAGGGACCGAGACCAGGTCTGAGTCCAGTTTAGTCCAGGTTTAGTCCTGGTTCAGTCTTGGTTTAGTCTAGCATCACAGTTTAAGTCACAAAAACGGGAAATGGCCGTTATAAATTTTTTCCATTATTCATTTAAACACAAAATCAAAAACTGAAAAAAACTATCAATATCCATTTTGTCATTTTGATTTTGGAGACAAATAATGAAGAAAATAATTGTTTTTTCATTTTCTTATTTTTGATTTTATATTGAAAAATTAATGATTTGTGTGGAGTTTAAAAACACAGTGGAGCACTTCTTGTATTACGACATAACATCACAAGGTGGAACAGTACGCTTTCAGTTTGAGAGAAGAACTCCGCCTAAATATGCAGAGTTTGTGTGTTAAACATGTGTGAATGAAACAAAACACAACTCCAGGTCTGTTTGTGATGAGCAAACAAGATTATAACATAGATCAAAAATAGTGTCATAAAGGACCTTTAACTGTAGCCTACTTTAAAAATCAGCTTAAAAATATATTTTATACTTATACTTTGATAATTGGGACACACCCTTTAGTCTTTATTCTACTTTTTTGTCATGTAAACAGCACATTATTGGAGCATATAAAGAGGCAGCACTGGGGAATACAGTCATAAAATTCTACTTGTGATCTAATTCGAGGGACTCCCGGTTTCATAGATCTGGCTTAGTCCTGGTCCAGTCCTGGTTCCTATTTGAGTCAACCCTGATCGTGTTTTCTCCTTTTATGACTTTAAACCTTAGACGCCTCTTGTTTATTCCTAATGTGAAGAAATTGCCTTGTGACTTAGTCCTGTTGGTGCTTGGTTTGCTCTAGTTCAGTTCAAGGACGACATGAATCTAGAGAAAAACGTGTTTTGTTTTTGTTAAATATCTGAAGATCTGAGTCTTTCCAGGCCCTGGCTTAGTCCCGTTTTGGTCCTGTTCTTTGTTTAGTAAGGATTTAGGGTGCGCTCACACTTACACACACAGCACAACAAAACTGAGGACTAAACCGGGACTAAATCTGATGTTACACCAGAAGTAGACCAAGACTAAACCTGGACTAAAACAGGACCTAATGAATCTGATCAGACAATACAGGACCAAAACAAGTCTACATTAGGACTAAACATGGGTTATAATGTTGTAATGTTGTTTCCTCATCAAAGAGTTCCTCTCTCAAATGGAAAACGTTCTGTTCCACCTTGTGATGTCATGTGGTAATACTCCATTGTGATTTTAAACTCCACACAGCCTTGATTTCAGTCCTGATTACAGCCCTGGAACTGCCAATCTCAACTGAACTAGGTAAAGGTAAAAGGAGCTGTTAACTTGAAAACTATCACTTCATGACATCGCAAGGTGAAGCAGAGCATTTGACGGACTCATAATAAAGGGTTAGTCAGGCTTACAAGAGTTGCGTAATATAGGACCTTTAAACCAGGAGTGAGAATACACCCTTATCCATACGATTAAAAGCCAAATATTTTCAGCTGTCTCACAATAACTGCTCTTTATTCGATTCTTTGTTAAAACCTGCCCTTTTTATCGCTGGTATTTTCTGGTTCCTCTCCCCGGTCCCACCCTTTGCTCTGCACTCAGCTCACGGCTCCTCTGGGCTGCAGTAAAGTTTGTAGATACTGGGGTCTTTTGGTTTTCGACGGGGGGCAGAGCAGATGTGGTGAGAGGAAGTTTCTAACATGCTCCAGATGTGAGAGGCCGAACCCAACCCCCGCCTCCACCGGGGCTCCTGCAGCACGTGGACTCAGAGCATGGAGCCCTCTGCACAGAAACAATTACATGGAGAAGAGAGATATGTTTTAGAACAGTGTTTTAGGTTTGACAGGTTTATTGTGTCTTATGTAATAGACAACAGTTTTTAGTTTTAGTCAATAAACTGATAGTGCTTTTAAGGGTCCTTTAGTACAAGTATAAAACTGACTCTTTTGAGCTTTAAACCGAGTTGGAACGTGGTTGCCTCATCAAAAACCTACCCAGAATTGTATTTGTTTCATTCACACATGATTGAGTATTTGTTTATTATTAGTTTGTCTACGTCTCCAAAGCTCAAAATGCTCTGTTCCACCATGTGATGTCATGTACACAGCAAAAAGCGGAGTGTTAAAACTGACGCTCACAGAATCATTTTTAAAATTTTCTCAGGGTTTATATCAATCAAATCTGTTCTAGAGTTAATTTAACATTTTTAAAAATGTTGGACCAAAGTTCCTGTTTAACCCCAAAATTAAGAGTTATATGTGTATGTTTTGAGAGTAAATGGATAACACTTTGCAGGGTTATCCTAATTTAGCTAAACCACAGACAGAGGAGTTTTATTTTTACACTTTATTTTAGTTAATTTAAGATTAAATGATGTACAAAACTGGCTCAAACTGGTCTTCTCTCGCGGGAGTTTGAAGGGGTGGGAGGAGTCAAATTAACACTAGGGAAGTTGAATTAACACTAGAGGAAGTTGAATTAACTTCAACCATATCAACTCTGGTAAATAACCCAAACTCGAACCCCTGTTTAAATTTCAAAGAGTTAAAATAAGACTTTTTTCTGTTAAAAACAAGTTGTAATAACTACATTCTGCCTTTTTAGGTCAGACGTTAGGTTTTGTTGTGTTGTAATTTAATCAATAACATCCCTGGACCTTAGTTTACTATGACTGTTTATGCCAGAAATCAAACTGATCACTTTTTCCACAGTTCTTTATATTTAGCTGCTCTAAAACAGCTCAAAATACTTGCTCGCTCTGGTATATCAGTAAGCTATATTCCATGAAGTTCCTCTGTGTAAGTGTAGAAGCTTGTAGGGAAAATAGGATTAAAAAGAAAAAACAAAACAAAAAAGCTAAAACTAAATAAACATCCACTAGGATCTGACTTTTGATAGTTAAATTACAAAAAAATACTGCTTTCTTACCAACCACTAAGACAACTCGGAATAATATTTTAGTTCCTCTTTGTAGTAGAAATACGCTGTTAACTTCAAGGCAGTTCTTCTTTTGAGCAAACGCGAATGAAGCTTTAGTTCACTTGAGCAGCCTCTAGTGGTTAAAAAGATGAACTACAACACAAATCACAATGAAGTGCATTTATTTAGAGTAAGAAACATTTTTACAGTGAAATTCAAAAACATGACAAATATAAAGACTGTGATTATTTAAAAAAAAAATAGAAAAACTAATCATAAAGAAGAGCGGTTTTGTTTTATTGTCTTTTTAAACTAACTTCACAATAAAACATTTATTTATTAACTCACAATTAAAAGTACTGAGGAGATTGTGGCAGGATCACATTGTTTTAAATAAATGTTGAAAAATTTTAGGGTGAATACAAATTTCAAACCACAGCGACAGAGACAATGGAATAAGGCAAGGTACAGAATGTAAGTTTTAGGGTGGTGGGTCCTTAATGTTTTTATGTCCTTTTGTATTTACAATGTTAAATTAAATTGGGGGTATTACACGTGTTAATTACCAACACATAACATGTTACCTTTTATTATTTTGAATATGCTATATTCCCCAAAAACATGCATTAACATGTTTAATATGTAAAATTTTCAGCACTCCGAGTCCCCCCTCCCTTTGCTCCTCATGCCAAGTCACTCACTCTTCAGAGCGCTATCACAACACAGTCAGCGTGCATCCCACTAATGAAACTACAGCACATCACATCAAGTAACCACTCGATTTAACCATACTTCAATGCAACTAGGGTCAGGGGTCAAGAGCAGGGACTCGAGTTTGGTTTGGTCAGGGTTTCCTAGATGGATTTTTAGCCTATTATTGCGTATTTTTGTTCAGATCAGTCTATACACACAAGTGGCAGTTTGTTGTGAAGGTCCACTTGTCTTCACTGTACCTTCTTAGCGACTATTGTTCAGTTTGTAGTTTGCCCACTGTTGCCTGCAGCTGTTTCCAGAACCTGATCCACAAACGTTTCCTTTTAAAAGAGGCTCTATTCATCATCGTCGTCATCATCAATCACCAGCTTCCTCCTGCGTTTGAGTGGAGCAGACAGGTCCTCTCCATCCGAGTCCACGTCTCCGTTGGTTTCCATAGTCATGGGGGCAGAGCTGTCATCCTCTGTGGAAAATCATACAATGTGAAGTACACCATGAGTTTGTGTGCCGTCTAAACTGGTCATTGTGAATTTCAGAATGTATCACAACATTTATAGAGCAGTAATATTTAATAGAGACGTAAGGCAGATAAAATGAATACTGTTAAAATGCAGATTTTTGTTGCAGTACAGTGAGTTATAGAAGTCTAGTCACCAGTCATCCTAAAAATGATTTGGTTCAGCATTTGCCAATTTTCCTTTTAGAGATTTCATGGCAAAGTACCAGGTATTTAAAAGGAAAAAATGCCTCTTGTCTCTCATCTGAGAGTATGACATCATCACATCCTAGAATCTGGAAACCACATAATGCAGGGGTCTTCAACGTTTTTCAGGCCAGGACTCTCAAACTGATGGAGAGCCGGAGCAGGGACCCCCTAGTATATATATGGTATACAATTGTGTTTTATATTAAATTGAGCCTAGTGTCGTGTATAAACAGCTACTCTGTTATTGTAATAATGTAATATTGGCTGTACAATATTACATCGAAATCGCTTAACAAGTCCATGCTTATCTTGAATTTCTGTGCTGAAACTAGCCCCAGTTTAAGCCTTAACTTGTTCCATGACAAAAATAAGCCTGAGTCTAACCAAAGCTAATTCAGGCCTGAAGTTTTGTGGCTCTGGGAAGGCCAGATCAATGGAGCAATGACATCACGGAGAATGGGCTCAAAGTGTGACTTTCTTTAAACCATCTGATTAAACGAGCAAGGAGCCACAGCGCGCACAGACAAGAGTTTGATATGTGACACTGAATGTTTCATTCTGATGTGAGGAGTGAGAAGAAAAACACGACTCCCCCTCCTCTCCTGTTTGCTCCGTCTCCTCTCCCAGTCTCTCTGCAGGTAGAGAGGAGAGGTCTGCATGGGACAGAATTTTCAGTCCCGCTCCCGCGCACCCGCACCTGTATTGTACAGTCCCGTTCCCGCCTGCAAAGAATTGTAATTTTCATTCCCGCTCCCTCCTGCATCTGCGATATTTTGTCCCGGTCCCATCCGCAAGTCCTGCAAAATGGGGACGTTCGCTTTTAAGTTCTATCAAACAAGGAGAAGCGGAAAGGAATTGTCTAAAATGTACGCAAGATTAGACCAAGTCCGTAAGTTTAGGCTGCTTAAAATGTTTTTATTAATGCCAAATAAAATATCCAACACAAATGATGTATGATAGGCAAACATGAATCATTTGTATATTTTACGTTGCACTTATATTTAGTTTGTGGGACTGCAGTTTATCATCCCACCCTCCCACTCCCGCACTGTGCAGTCCCGTTCCCGCAATGAGGTTTCAAAATGTGTCCCACACAGCACTGTTTTGCGTCAGGTTCTGGTACAGGGCTCTAGTAGAGAGGAGACTAGCTGTGTAGCGCTGAGCCTGGTTAATACGGGCCAGGGAATGAAGTTGCCTGACCCCTTCCCGATGCACGGTTGGTTGTGTGTAAAAATTAAGCTGTAATGGAACTCTTCACATGTAGCCTAGAAGAAACAATCAAATCCACACCGACGTGTTTCCAGTTTGACAGAGCAAGAGACGAGGCAACAGAAAGAGACAGACGTGATGAAGGAGTGCACTTGCCTGAACCCGCTGAAAACAGTTCATCCTCATCCTTCAGAAATAAAAAAAATATATTCAAAAAAAAATCTGCCAAAGATTTTGTGACCCCCCTGCAATACCTCCGTGACCCCTGTTGAAGACCTCTGACATAATGGATTTGGATGAAAAATACTCCCTTTGAAAATATATTCTCTTTGTACTAAGTATTTGGCTTCTCACCTAATTAAAAACAAAACTAGGCAAAAATTTGAATAGTCATTTGTTTTTACAATAATAAATGCAGCTACTTTACCAATTCAACATAACCTTTTAGACTGAGGTGAAACTTTTAAAATCCAGATCACTTCCAATGAATTATTTACAAATTCAACTCCCATGATGCCATTGTGAGCAGACAAAAGAATTAAGTTATATCCTAATTAAACATTTGTTAAACCGGGTGTCGACTGCATATTTTTGGCTGTCTGTGATGAAATGTTTCTGGTCATGGGAAAAATCTTGAGTCATGGCTCAGAATCGTGGGTTGTGGGTCAGACTGAGCCCTCCTCTCACTGTGTCTGTGATCTTTGTGTCCCACAGTAAACACAAGCATCAAAGTAACAGCAAAAGAGCTCCAGCGTGAATGGGGTCGCCTTCCTGATTCCCTTTCATTTACCCACTTTTACAAACACAAAAACACTGCTAGCATGTAGTTCTAACCTGTACAATTATGGAGATATTACCGCATGGAACCTGGAACCTGATATTCACTCCGACAAACTTTGGGTGTAGCCATGATTGATCGTGTGCACCATCCCAGTGTGCACATGTGATATCATACTATTTAAACTCCCAACATTGTGTACCGTGACATACAACAATCTTATAAAACTAATAAAGAAATCGTGCAGTGGACACCAGGCTTTAAATATGCCCCATTGAATCTTTTTTTTTTTTTTTTTTACACAGTATATAGAATTTTATTTTTATACTATATTAGAAGATGGACCATAATGTTTCTTTAAAATTTTTTACCATTTTCTTTGTCCTCGTCATCATCATCATCATCACCATCATCGTCTAAAACTCTTCTCCTTTTGGTTGAAGTCTTTACTGGAGGCCTGGTGTAAGTAAAAAAAAAAAAGTATGAAAATAGTTCATATGAATTCCCACAACTTAACTATGATTAAAATAAATATAATAAATAATAATGCTTAAAATAAATGAACTTACTTTTCAGGCGTACCATTCTGCTCCAGAGGACTTGGGCTGGACATGGGAGCTAAACGGGAACAGACACACAGTATAGGATAAAACTGCAAAATTAATTGCAATTATTGATTTTGTGACATTGGATAACACAGGGGTCGGCAACCCGCGGCTCCGGAGCCGCATGCGGCTCTTTAGCACTCCCCTAGTGGCTCCCTGGAGCTTTTTCAAAAATGAGTGAAAATGAAAAAGGAATGATTTTTTTGTTGTTGTTTTAATATGGTTTCTTTAGGGGTAAAACCCTCGTTCATCTCTGGTCATGGATCTGATCCATCAGCTGTGTGTGCAAACGCAAACATAGGAAAAGTGTTTCAGCAGAACAAACAGATGAGCTGAAGCGGGGGGTGGTGTCCGGTGCCTCCACCTGAGAAACGTTTTCCCCGAAAAAAACAAAAACAAAAACAAAAAAAACACGTGCGCAGACGGACGCTCAGAACAACATATAATGAAACAAACTGGATTCATGATTCTGTCCAGATGCTTTGCACCACCTCGGAACCAGGCCGCGGTCGAGCGTGGAGGACCGGAGCAGCCCGCCCGGACCTGTAGTCCACAGCGCATTCTCGCTTTTCCCGCACAGAACCAGCGCACAGAGGACGACGCGGAACCGCTCGGACCCAGTCCTTTGCACGCTGGTCTTGCTCGCCCCCATCTGGAACCAGGACACGGAGGACGAAGCCTCCGGACAATCTGACCAACACTGGACCCCCAGCCCCGTCTTGAGGAGCTGCGCGCTGACTGCTCCCGTGTATTTTGCGCTGCTGCCCGAGCTCAGAGCTTCTGCTCTGGGCTGATGTTGCGTAGAAAGTTCTACATGCTGCTGTATTATGAGTGCTCCTATGCACGATCAGAAGAAATGCGACTGCTGCTCTGTATACTTCCATCATCGTCGTCAAAGCAACAGGTAAACGTAGGTCTACAGATGGCGCAGTATGTATGAGAGGGTCGCAAAAGGGGTTTGTGTAATCATGAATGCTCATTTTGTATTTGTAGCCTACTTAGTCATTTTAATAGTAGGCTTATATAGCTAATACACTGACAGCTTATATTGCCTTCATATTAGGCTTTTAATTTTTTGCGGCTCCAGGCAGGTATGTTTTTTGTTTTTTTAGGCCAATATGGCTCTTTGAACATTTTGGGTTGCCGACCCCTGGGATAACACAATAAGGTACTGTATGCAGGAATTTAAAATGATAATTCATAAACACTGCCCGTTACATTTACATTTCTGCATTGGTTAATGACAATAAAAACATGATGAGTTTATCGCGAACAAAGTCAAATGCAATAGAGTGGTTTGGAGGTTATTAATGAAAACAAAATGAATTTATAAAGACTTGAGTAAAAGGGCTTCTTGATTAGTTAGTGCTGCCTGGAGAGAGAGAGGATATGAACAGTAGGAAAAGAACAGTTTTTTCAGCTCATGACAAGACATCAGAATATAAAACGATTTAACAGTGCATTCTTCTGCTACAAGGTCTCTCTCCATGGAAATTTTATTCTTTGCTTAGAATGTTCCACAGTATGGCATTTAACTTATATATCTAGCTTTCATTTGATCATTGGTGTTTTATTACTCAAAAATCACTCAAGCACTCTTGCTTTAAGTGCAGTCGCTTCTCCACAGACCTGATCCATTTCTGTTTTGTTTGTCTCCATGGAGAAAGACAAGTTTAATGCCATCCTGTGGGACATTTAAGCAATGCAGTACAGTCTACATGAAGACAACAGTTAAACGGTGCACCTTTAAAGCAACACCACAACTTTTTGGTGGTGGCACTTCACCTGCATGACTTCAAGAAAATAGTCAAAACAGTCAATACTTCAAAACATGTTTTATGTCTTATGTTGGAACATGTTATGAAAAGCAAAAAAAGTCTCCAGGGTGACAAGCAAGTCCTCCTACCAGCCACGTCTAAGTCAGGTTCAACTCCACATATTCCCTCTCACCTATGTGGTCAGTGCTGTGCTGCTTCCTCTTCCTCTCCAGCAGCAGAGCTCGGAGGGCCTGGGTTCTCTGCTCACTAGACGTCCCTTGGTCTGAATCCCGGTTTGGATCCTGGTCCGGTTCCTGGTCTCTGGACTCTGTAGACCCACTCGGACCCTCTTCTCCTCCAGTGGGAGGGTCTTCTGATGGACTGAGGGACGCTGCTGCCACACGGAGCTGTGAGGGTGTGATCTTAGCTGGAATCCTCCAAAAGGACTCCTGTAAAACAAACAGTAGCATATTTAGTGCTACAGAAATCACCTTTCATATTCATTCACATTCATATTTTGTAATTTCTATTTTAAATCTTTTAACCCTTTATTTCGCAACGTTTTGTCATAAAGTCTGCATTTCACAGTTATCACAAAGTCGATTCTTTTCAGTTCAGTTTATGTAACCTGGATTTTCTTTGATGCTGGCTATTAAACTCTGGCGTATGTCAAAGATTAGTAGCATAAATATTTATTTGCACTGAGAGTTTTTTTGACAGTCATATATACACGTTATGGGAGCTATGTACAAAGGTGTGCCCGTTGTAAGCCATTCAGATCATTTTTGTTGAACTCACTGTAATAAGACATTCTATAACATGTATCTGCACTTTCTTTGTATCATCTGAACCCTCTGGCTTTAAATTAATGTTCTGAGTTTTTTTTTGCTGTTTACATAACTTCTTGGATATTTAGCACAATGTAAATGAAAGGCTACTTTACCCACTGAAGCCCATACAAAACCTGCTGTAAACATCATTTATAAAACTGTAGGGAGCTTTGTACATATATTTTTAAACCAACATCTTTTTTAAAAATAATCATTTAAAAATATGATTATCTGAACCTTTTAATAATGATAATAATCTTTAATTTATAGAGGACTTTTTGGCCACATTTGGGACATTTTGTATTTCTGATCATACATTTCATACTTCTGTTGTTGCCCCTGCATATGAATATTTCAATTACTTGTTTGTTACCGTCTTCCACACTTCCTAGACACTAATCCCAGAGAGCCTCATATACTTAAACTAGTAGTGTGTGTAAGTCTTTTTGACATAATAAAATAGTCTGATGTTTTTCTTATAGTAAAGTGTATGGAGGAGCAGCTTTACGATGTATGTATCGGATACTGTACTCCTGCTGTTCTTACAAATACATGGAGTAAAAGTCAAATACTGTCTGTCACTGTTATCTGAGACTCCTGTAGCTCCACAAACACTCACCCAGTCACATCAACCTGATCTCATGGAACTCTCAAATATCTAACACTTATATAATGCATGCTTTACACTTTGCACAATGGCAGGTTGCAAAATGGTGATTATAATGGAAGTGAATAGATATTTTTTGTGCTCAAGGGCCCACAAAGGCAGTATCTTTCCAAGCACGAATTAGAATAGGCTAAGATTGAAAAACTCATGGGAAAATGTTAAAAGACTCAAAGATGCATCACTCTGCCATAAATCAACCCATTTGCATCAAAAATGAAGAAGTTCTGCAAGAAACAAAAGTCAAAAAGCACAAAAATGTGAACTAAAGTGTGAGTGAGGGTTAAATACTAGTACTTTGAAGGATTACACTGATATAAGGCCACATGATAATATAAAACAGTCATCAAGTTTCATAGTGATTCATGGGTGTATACAAGTATATGCAGTCTTATAAAGCTATTCAGAAAAGGCAGGACTAAAATAATGGCAGTTAATCAAGAGCAGGTTCAGACGGATGTATTCAAATGCTCATAGTGAGGTCGGTGTGTTTATGGAATTCCCAGGAGTTATGATCTGTTATGTAACCTTCTGCAAACAATCACAGCTTAGTCTGTGCTGCGGCTTAGAAGGAAAGATTTCAGTCCATAGAATTTCTAAAATCTACTTAAATAAAGAGGTTTTCCAGGTATGTTCTTACTGAGAGTACACATTTACTGTATTAAAAGCTTGTTGACGTTAAAAGCCTTTATAATCAGATTGACTTTATTTTGATTATTTGACATGAATCATATTTCTGCAGTTTATTATTTGAATGACATGTAAACAGCAAAATCATCTCAATTCTTTCTGATTACTCACATCAGATGTAGCAGTTTACATGTCTTTTAGGTAATCTCAAAGGTTGAGAAATCAGATTATAATCAAATTTTGGTATGCATGTGAACAAGGCCACATACCACGTTAGATGTACATCAAAAATTCAATCATTATCAGATTTCAGATTGAAACGTCATGCAAACAGTTCAACTTGATGTGAATAATCGGAGCTCTTTCTGTTTGTTCAAGGGCCATTTGCCAAGGGAAATTTTGCAAATGTGGAAGACAAAACAGAGACAAAAATGAAAGTGAAAAGGTTACTCTAAAAACCCACCAATAAATTGACATGTTACCTGGTGTTTTATCGATGATCAGATTTCCATTGTGCATATAAACACACACCAAAAATCTGATCAAGTTATTGGGTTATCAGACTATTCCAGTGTGGGTTTGTTGAATATTAATCTCATATTAAAAGCTGTATTGTGTAACTTTTTCGATCCATAGAAACAAGCAGGTGACGGACCCTCAAACAAAAAGTTTCATATTTAAAGCTTGACATTTATACATATATCTTCATTACCTGTTCATCCGCTGGAGCCCTGAGGCCCAGCTTCTTCAACAGTTTCTGGAAGCTCCTGTTTTCCATGGCCTCTTCGTTCTCTTCAGTGAGAGGGACCAGAGGCACGGGCTGGGACATGCCTGAGAGTAAAACAGGGTTATAATGGACAGGTTTGGTTGATAGGAGGTTCATTACAGCTTATATGAAATGTAAAAGCTGTAGAGTGTCTTTACCGTCCTCTTCGCGATAGTTGGCTGTTTTATTGAGGCAGTTCTGAAGCCACAGTATCGGTCCTGACATGCCTGATGGCAAAAACAAGATTGAAATCAGAAACCACACTAATTATGGATTGTAAAAGAGTAACTGTCAGGAGGTTTAAATACAAACAAAAGCGTTTGAAAAGTGTCATTTGATAGTGTTATTAGTAGTATTTATTTATTAAACATAGATATTTTGTTGAGTTGTCAGTCAGTGCATGAGTACAATTTGCTCACTGAAAAATTATAGTTGAAAAAAATGAAAAAACACAAAACCTCAAAAACAACAGTGGTTCTCAAATTGTGGTACATGGGCTTTTGGTGATATGCAGGGATGCATATACTAGTAGTAACTGTTTTAGTCTTTCTTTGGGTTAATGCTTGTTTAGAAGTACTTTATAGTATAGTTAGAACTGAGTGGTAGGACAAAAAAATCATGTTGATCAATTACAATTTGATATCATCTTATTCTTATTAAAGAGCCCATATTTCACTGTTTTCTGATCTGGTTACAATGTTGTTTCCTCATCAAAAACATACCTGGAGTTCTGTTCCATTCACATGTTTCACACACAAACCCTGTCTGTGTATTTAGGCTGAGTTAATCTCTCAAACAGAAAACACCCTGTTCCACCTTGTGATGTCATGTGGTAATACAGGAAGCGCTTCACTGTGTGTTTAAACTCCACATAACTTTAATAGCCAGATTCATCAACCGGTTTCATTTTGTAGAAACTGTCTGACCTTACCTGTTCGCTTGACGGTAGGCGGGTACTTTTTTTCATTTAACCAATCGCTGATATTTGGTCGCGATGTATGTAACGCGCCGCTAACGGGGCTAACTGGTATATTAAGCTTTTCCCAAATCCCATAGGAAGAAGGGCAATAACGTCTTTCCCCTTGATAATATTCACCAATTCTCTTTGTTCTGGCTTTAAATCCTCGATCTTAGGAATCATTGCCAACACAGAATGTATGGCTCTTCACTGATTGTCTCGTGCCCAATCTTGCACTTCCGGGTTTTTTGTGAACCGTCTAGTGTATTCTGATTCCTGACCTAGTCGCTATAGAGAAATGAAATTGAGCGGAGGCTCTGGGTGGCGCCAGCCTGGCTACAACTTCACTAGAATCATTCGGATAATTTCAGTGCTGGAATTTCCTAGCTCTACTGAACTAAAGATAAAACGTAGCTGTTAATATGAAAACTATGGCTTCATGACATCACGAGGTGGAACAGAGCATTTTGACCTTTGGAGATGTAGACCGATAATAAAAAAATGTGTAAATGAAACAAAACACAGCTGCAGGTATGATAAAGGTAACAGCATTATAACATGGTTAAAAGCTCACAAGAATAATATTGAAGCCATGAACATACAATACAACAAACAATACATAAGCCGAAACAAACTTAATGAGGAGGTTTGGTTAAGTCCTGTTATACACCTAATTAAACTTGAAAAGACAATCATTTTCTCAGATGTGAGAACCACTGTAAATAGACAGTGTTCTGCTATTAATTTAATATCTTCTTCTGGGAAAAAAAACTGCTAACCCTGTAGTTTTGTCCAGTATAGCCTGCTCTGAAATACATAAGATTCTTTAATTTGTTTGCAAATCAAAGCTCAGTCTAACCCAATGTCAAATCACAAATCAATTACTAATTTTGATCTTAACACTAGATCCACTGTCCATCACCTCTGGTCAAATCTCACCTTCTTGTCTGAGAGCCCGGGCCACAGAGCTTACGTCAGCGCGTTTTGCTGATGTCGTGATGTTGATGCTGTTCATTAAGCCGCCATTTTGAGTCCCTTCCACATCTCCTCCCTCCTCTTCCTCACTCTCCTCCGACTCCTCCTCTTCATCTCGGTCCAGACCCTCCTCATCAGCATCAGGGAACTCTCCAGTGAGCTGGGAAAGGAACTCCTCTTCCGTCTAGAAAAACCAAGAAAAGTGAACAATTCATAATAATTTAAATATAATATTCCTATCATTACAACAGAAATCCCACAATTTTTTACCCAGTGCTTTAGAATAGGTTTACGATATATCTGTAAAATGGGAGAGTTCAATCTGTCTTTACTGAAAATACATTGTACTCTTGTGAGTGCAGTTTGAGCCAGACACAGAGATACATAATAGTTTTGAGCTTTGAGAGTTTTGAGCGCTAGATACTGCAGCCCTAGTTAAAGTGTATGACAGATTTTAATGATTCCTTACTTTTGATTAATTTGGTGGGAACATAACTATTGTAAATATAAATGATAGTTTTATATCAATTGAGAAGCAATTTACGAAGAAAAGTTGAAAAATTGAAAAACACAGGGAATAGAGATAAACACACAATATTAATTCAACAAAATAAAGGTGTTTTCTTATATTTGCCAGATAATTTCTGTGTACATTAGAGGAGTTTTTCTACTGTATAGGTAACAATTTTAAAACAAAAAAATTAAGTGCTGCTTTTACAATATACTAACTAATATTTATTAAACTCACCATTCCTCTGCCTGAGCTTTTGCCTCTAGTTTTGCCTCTGGACCCCTTGTCCCCTGCCCCTCCTCCTCCCCTCCGCTTCTTGTGCAGCTCTCGACGGTCTGATATCAGCCCCAGACTCAGCAGTTTGTCCACCACACGAGCTCGAGAACGCTTCGCTGTGATCTTCTTCAGAATATTACCCAAAATGTCTGCGATAAAAAAATGGAGTGGTTATAAAAAATGAATACAGAGCTGATGACAGGCCAAAATTGTTTGTTTTGACTGTTTATGGTTAATATCTCTACTGGGCTTACCCACATGAAACCAAAACTGACACACATTATTGGTGGCATCACTCAATCACGCAGTTGCTGACAATTAAAAGGACTTTTTACCAAGTGTTTAATACTAAGGATGTAACAATAACCGAAATATCGTGAATCATATCGTCAAAGTTCTCACAATAATATCGTGGACCATCACAATATATCGAATTACAAGTCTCTTTGCTTAAACGAAGCGTTATGGTGCAGCAATAACTAAAAAAACACAGAGGGAACTACATAGACCATGATCCTTAGCTCCATTTTAGTGCAGACTACAAGAAGAAATAACAGTTCTAAGCACTTTTAAGTCTTAGTTCTTTGGATTAAGTCTTATCAAGGCATTTTAAGAGGAAAAAGTAGCATACTAACAGTTTTAGCTGTTTAGCCTCCACAAAATATCACAATAAATATTGTACCGTGAGATGTATATCATGAAAATATCGTACTGATACAGTACTCGTACTGATAATCGTGAGCTTTCCCACGATATCGCAATAAATATTGTAACGTGAGGTTCATACCGTGACGATATCGCATCATGAGACTTGGATATCGTTACACCCCTATTTAATATAGTTATATAATTGTGGGCCCAGTTTCTAACAAATAAGGTTTAATATGTGTGGATTTGAGGTTTTGAGGTTTAGCATACAATTGTTTTATTTTCCTGAACCAGAAATTACTTTTAATTTTTTCAAATCAATAATTGTCATAAATGTAAAAATATCCTACTATAGTTTTATTTTTATTACCATCAGAGTCCTTAAACTCCTCAAACAGCATCTGCAGCTCCTCCTCCTGCTCCTCCGTCCACAGAACAATCCCCGTGCCCTTCCTTTGAAAAAAAAAAAACATTCACATTTATCATTACCAATCCAGAATCAATACCAGTAATACAATCATAAAAAGAAAAGTTAAAATTATGCATGAATCCTTACTTTGGTTTCTTGACATCTTTTGCGCTGCTCACCAAACCCATATGAACGAGCTGCACCACCACTTGTCTTCTGTTGCGATTACTGTTACTGAGAAGAGGCAGGATGTGCTCTATAATATCTGGCACTAAAATATAAAATAGCAAATATTAAATTACAGAATTACAGAAAGTTTATAATTTGAGTAAAAATCACCAACCCTCTGAATCTCGATGCTCCTCGTACAGTTTGCGAAGCTCCTCTTCCTCCTCTTCAGTCCAGGCTACTTTCTTTCCACCACTGGAACAAACAAGCAATGACAAATAATTATCTGAATTTACCTTTTACTGTGTTTCAGGTGATGTCACAACATTCTAGAGGCCAATAATATTTAATACAGATGAGGGCAGTTAAAATGAAGATTGTTAAAATGCAGGTTTTTGTTGTAATACAGCAAGTTCCAGGGTGATCAGATTGAATTTTACCTATTGAATGTTTTATTATCATGTACAATGTAATTTGATAAAGAAATTTGGCTCTTGCTCCCCATGTCACGTTTTAGAATCTGAAAAAAAAAAGAACTAAGAAATAAGTATGCATTGTTAAGGCTTTTGACTACTTTTGTATACCTAAACTTATTTTTATTATCTAAAGGTCCTATATTAGGCCAAATTGACTCTTGTGAGCTTTAAGACACATTATAATGTTGTTACCTCATCAAAAACATACCTGGAGTTGTGGGTTTTTTCATTGTTTCATCTCGCACATGTTTTAGTAACTCTTTAATATTGGTCTGTCAATATCTCCAAAGTTCAAAATGCTCTGTTCCACCTTTTGATGTCATGAAGTGTTAGTTTTCAAGTTAATCGCAACCATTTATCTTCTGTTTAGTAGAGACTGGCAATTCCAGGGTTGAAATTATCCAAACGATTCTAGTGATGGTGTATGGAGTGTTTTCTGTTTGAGAGAAAAACTCAGCCTAAATCTGCAGGGTTTGCGTGTTAAACATGTGTGAATGAAACAAAACAGGTATGTTTGTAATGAAGAAACAACATTAAAACATAGTATAGCTCAAAGAACATTGTAATATGGGAGATTTAAGGTAGATAGAGCCAACACCAAACACGGTTTAAGGGCTCCATCTACTGGTGCACTGAGGAGTAAAGTCACAATATCTGTTTGCCGTACACTTCCAAAAGTCAATGACTGCTGAAGTTTAAGTTGATTAGCTGCAAAGTAGGGGCAATTTGAGCTCAGAAATGATCAACAACAAAATCTGTTTAGATAATACAAACAAATTATAGTATACAATACAAAGACAGCGTAATAACATGGTTAAAATCTTACAATAGAATTCACCACACTATGGAGTGAAGCATTTTAACTTGAGTGGAAGGTACAAAAAAAATTCCATATTAAATCCAATAAAATGAACATGATTTAGACACTGACCCGTCTTTGGTGTAGCCCTCGGTCATCTCTCTCACTGCGCCCACATTCTTCCAGAAGAGCAGCTCCACATAGGCTTTGTCGTTCTGAGCAGCCAGTTTAAAGAAGCCCCTCAAAACGAATTTGGCAAAAGTCACCAACTCCTGTAGAAATTAGGGCTTAGGTTAGGGTTAAGGGTTACCAGTTATTATTACCTCCGCCAAGGAGGTTATGTTTTTGCCAGCGTTTGTCTGTTTGTTTGTTTGTTTGTCTTTAGCAACATAACTCAAAAAGTTATGGACCAATTTTGATGAAATTTTCAGGATTTGTTGGAAATGTGAAAAGGAAGAACTGATTTCATTTTGGGGGTGATCCGGAAGAAATCCTGGATTCTGGATCACTTTGAAATTTTAGTTAACATTGTGGTAAATGGGGCCAAAAATTTTGTTTCTCAATATCTCGATTAATTATTGACCAAACCCCATGAAATTTGACTCAGGGATGGACAATCGGATCCTCTTTCATATTCCAAATTGAAAGATACGAGACAAATATTTATGGAAAACACAATTAATATGAGGGGGACTGTAGTCCTTGGCGGAGGTCTGCGCTCTCTGAGTGCTTTTCTAGTTTTGTCTTTGTTATTATTTCAAATGCTACAGATGTCTATGCCCTGTCGCAATCCCACACCCCACACCAAACAACCTTAAAGGGCTTATACTACACTATTTTCTGATCTATGTTATAATGTTGTTTCCTGGAGTTGTGTTTTGTTTCATTCACATATGTTTAACACCCAAATCCTGCATATTTACTAAGAGTTTTTCTTTTCAGACAGAAAACACTCAGGAAGTTCTTGTGTATTTTTATACTCCATACCCCCCCTTCACTAGAATCATTTGGATAATTTCAGCCCCAGAATTTCCAATCTCTACAACCTGAACTTCCGTTGTATGACATCACAGGGTGGAACAGAGCATTCTGAGCTTTAGAGATATAGAGAGACTAACAATAAAGGCTTACTCAGGCTTGTGTGAATGAAACAAAACAACTTCAGGTATGTTTCTGAGGAGGCAACAAGATTCAAACATGATTTAAAGCTTCCAAGAGTGAGTTTTGTGTAATATAGTGACTTTAAATGACATTACACAGATAAAAAACATACTATTGCTAGTCCTGGTATAAACATGAATTGAAATAGAACTGTATTAGTCTGTGGCGTACAGTGAAAGCAGCTGCCGCGGGGTCACTCAGGAGTTTGTTGAAGACATGAAACACCGAGAGTTGGAAGAGGAGGGCATCCATTTTGAGGTCCACGGCGATGCGGTGCAGCATGCGGGCGATGCAGTGGTTTGTGTGGGGACTGTTTTTAGAGTAGGTTTTCAGCAAATGAAGGTAAGGACGCACTATAGTGGGCTGAGCGAACCTGAGGAGAAGAAAACAGATCAAATACAATCTTGGCCACAGAAGCTGAAATATGCAGTGTGTAATTATAGGAACTGTCTGTTATTACTTTTTCTACTTAAGATTTGTGTAATTTGTATTAATTAAGAATTAGGAATGATAAAGCAAACATAAATAATGAAACACTATAGCATAACTAAACTTAAATTTGTTAATTAATAAAACATGAACAAAGACTTAAGTTATAATGACCAAAAAGTTTTTATTACTTAAGTAGTTATTATAAAGTTGTGAAGTAAATAATATGAGAATGGTACTAAGAAAAATTACAAAACTAAACAACAGTAAAAATTACTTAATGTACCTTTTTATAAAATCAAGGAAGTTGAACTCTTGCTCTGACACTTGTATCGTCTCCAGTTCTTCCTCTTCAAACTCTGCTCCGTCATCTTCATCGTCTGGAGCAGGTTCAGGGGCAGACGACCCTGAAAAACGGAAAATTTAAATATTTTTACAGGTTTCTTACATACATGTGGCCCAAGCTCCTGTAAGCCCACTGAGATAGCGATTATTTTTTTTATATTTAAACGTAAAAATAAATATAATGTTTATTTGGACTATTTGGACTTGTAGGTTATTTAAAATTACTGACTTGGGAGGTCTGCATGAAGAATCTGTTTGAGAAGCTCCAGCTCCTCTTCCGGCTGCACATCTGAAGAGCCGAACACATCTCCTTCAGGCCACACCTCCCTGAACAAAACATGAAATAAGAATTCAGATTTGAAATTAACTACACACATTTTTTAAAGATCCACAGCACTTGATAGCCAATAAGTTCAGCTTGTATATACAGTAGTGTTTGTACCTGGCGGCTCTGAGCAGCCCCAGAGCCTCAGGTCCCAGGCGGTTGAGCAGAGCGTCCTGGACTCTGATCATGACCTCTGTCCTCTGCTCCTCCAGGGGGGTCTCTGAGGTGGCATCGAACGGGACTACACTTTCAGTAAGAGATAACGACAGCTGCAGAGATCAGTAGATTATTTAAAGCTTTTGTGGGCTATATAGTTATAATCCAATACAATTCTGAACAATTATTTTCTATTTCAGGCATTTAAAATCACAAACATGTTAAATCAGACAATTTCACAAATCAAAGTACTAAAGCACCAATTTACTAACATGTACTCTCCTATTTAAACACAACTAACGATGCAGATTTAATATGAAAAAATCCAGTATAAAGCAGTTCATGCATTATTAGATACAGAATTCAAACTAACCAAAACTATTATGTTAAGTAATTGATTTTTAATGAGGTGTTAGTGTTAGTTATAAAGTATTGATTGATTATTGGTAGAAAACTGACTGACCTTAAACTCGATGGCTCTGAGCTCTTCCTCCACGATCTTCCAAGTTTCACTCAGAGCCTCAGGACTCTGCTCTGACACAGACTTCTTTCCTCCTTTGGACTTTCTACGTTTCACTCGCTTTCTCTGCAGCAAGAAACACACTATAATAAGTTCCCTCTGTATTGTAGTAAGCTAAAGAAAAACAAAAGTTCAAAGCATTTAGACAATATTTATATAAAGGTAATAATTACTTTAGAAAGAGGTAGAACATAGCAAAATGTTCTGATATTAATCTGATTTTGAAAAATTTCAAACAAATTTTTAAAAATACAGAAAATCTTCAATACTCAATATGCATTTGAACACCACAATGAGAAATTCTCATTTTCAAAATCACTAAATAATAGTCCATTTGTTTATCACTAACGTGTGGTCTACACAGTCTTATACTAGTATACCACTTATATTGTTATAACAATACTAACCTGAACCATCAAGTTTTTGCGCCCTTTACAAAATCTCTCCAACATTCGTAAAAACAGATGTGTAGTTTCCACCAAGTCTTTCAGATACGACCTTGGCTGTTTGGTCTCATCAAATTTCCTCAACAAAGTCACAAAGATCTCCCTGTACTCCATCATGTAGAAGATATTACCTATAAAACATGAAATATAGAAAATTCCACATGCTTATTTAAAGGGCAATTAGTTATGAGGGGAGACATACTTTTGATGACATTGGAGCTCTGGCGGATGGTCTCGTCTTTCGATTGGTCCATTTCATTCACAGTCAGAAGAAGTTCTTGATAAGCTTTAAGTGCCAAATGCATCCTGCAAAAAAATGAAAATATTATTAGCTATTCCTGCAAAAACATGACAAACATAAACCTAACCCACGACAAATAAAGACAGTGGGCAGAGTGGCCCTTGCAAAAGCTCTCAAAATTATTAAGATCTTGAGCAAAATACTATGTATTTGGAGAAGTACGAATAAGCAGCATCTTTAGCAAAGAGGACATTCAATCATTGTCAAAGTTCTGAAGAACTAATGAAGCAGCTTGGATGAGCTGCAAAGTGTATTTGATCAAAAACTTTTGTCCAAATTCTGATTGTGTCATATGTAATTTTCAATATTTTTCTAACAATACAAACATGTCAGTAAAGATCTGCTGCTTGCTACAATGAAATCCCACTGTGAAGAAATTGTGCATCTCAGTCTTGAACGGGACCCGTTTCACACCGTTACTAAGTAATTTCAAATCAATAATATTGCCCTTACAAAATGTAGAATCATGATCTATACAGTCTAGTTATACATGACAAAATATCTGTAAAAAGCGTACCATTTATTCTTATGAGAAACATGACATATTAGTCTGACCTGCGTGACCAGGAGACTGCCTCTTTGCGGTCAGTCAGCATCATCTCATAGTAGTTGGTGATGTTTCGTTCAATGAAGTGAAATGCTCGGATGGACATTGTCTCAGACACAAACTCCGCCCTGAAGCCGTTGCCTCGGTTAAATGCCATAAAGAAGTTCAGAGCCCAAAGGTAATACGTCTCATCATGCTGCTGACTCTGCTCACGGATCAGGTTCTCCTACACAACAGAAAGCCAAAGGAATATTTAGAGGTGAGGGAGTATGGGTGATATATTGGTTAATTGATAATCTTGGTTGTTTAGACCACAATATAATCATAAGGTTTAAAAAAAAATTCTAATTCAAGATTTCTATGGACTAGTATTACCACCAGTGGATGACCAAGTTCTGGGCATAGTCCTTGGTTCTAGAGATCCTTGGATTTAGTCCTGGTTTAGCCCTGATGTATTAATGTAGTGTAAAAAAGGCAACTTGTTTTTTTCAAAACCAAATTTAAAAAGGTGCTATACCCAGTTTTTTACCATCATAAAAACAGAAGTAGTTCATTTAAAATTGTTTGCATTGGTCCAAAGTTATTCCTCACTTACCTTATGCATTCTGAGCATCCTAATTATTCACCACAATGAGTTTACAAGCACTTTTCACAACCCTCAGAGATCAGAGCAAAGTTTTGCCGTCATGTTAAACTATAAACTATTAGCATGCTTTCTTCCTTTAATAATACTTTTCAAATGAAGTGTAAACAATAAATAACCTCGATGTCGACAAACTTTTTACCTTATATACCATTTGAATAAAACGGCAACATATTAAGCAAAATAATTGACCAAAAGTATACCAAGTTTGTGCCTGACCTTAACGAGGTACATGAGGTGGTTATAGCAGTTTTCTAAAAAGTCCAAACAGAACTCCCTCAGAAACAGTCGCACGTTCAGGGCTGAGCGACGCTTGTCATTACACTCCTGAGCCTGACGATGGCGCTTTGGGACACGTCGTACTGCTTTACCGCAGTCATGGGTGTAATTTTTAAACTGCAAAGACAGAGAACTAAGCTTAACAGACTGAATTGGATCATGTTTATGATTCACACGAAACACATAAACCTACGTTGTTTATTTTCTGGTGGTAAATCACATCTTTGTCCCCGACCGACTTCAGGCCTTGAACAACGAAAGACCCTCCAAACCGCGAGTGCCTGAAAGAAAGTATTTTAATTTAATTTTAAACTTAATGATATTTAAAAGACTGCAGTTTAATAGTCACAGGGCAATATATTAAGCAAATTTCAAAAGAGACAATTATTATCATCATTTACTCTCTCTGAAGTTGTATTGAGAGTGATTGATGCATGATTGAGTAATTCTTATTTTCTTCTGTTCAAGACGTCATTGAGCCGATCTACTCCCATTTTCACCACTTCAGCATAAGCCCACTGTGACGTATTTACTTTGTTGTCAAATGTTCTTTATGAGTGATAGAAAATAGAGTTAGTGTGAAAGAATTTCTGTGTTATTTTAAATATTATGAATCATTTAAAATCATAATCATTTGTGTGTGTGATTAAAGTTATCAACAATTGCGTTTTTGGGTTTTTCCATATGTATATCATATGTCCTAGTACAAGAACTCCTGACTCATTAAACTAATCTACTGAGTCACCCATGAGAAGACAGCTAAGGGTTTTTTCCCTCATGTGGTTAGCATAAGTTTTTGGGAGAAAACTGACCAAATTGTTTATCACCTGGAGCCTGTAATCAAGTGTGAAATGGGAGGGTGGTTTAGCCTAAAGATTGTTAGTATGTGATCATTGTAACCATTGTGTGATATAACATAATGTACTGTACTGTTATCTGTGAAAAGACTGCAATAAAACCTGCTGTTGGGAGGAGAGCTGGTAGAGTAGAGTAGGCTCAGCCAGTGGTATTGACAGGCTCTGAGAGCTCTCTCTCCTTGCGCAAGTATTACTTTTAACTGTCTCGTTTTGGTGTGTCTTATTTAATGTAATTTGATGTGTAAGGGTAGAATTCCCTGACAGTTAGTTTGAAACTGCTCTGTACCTAGTCCCTCTCTGTAGGTTCCTGGAGCGTTTGGCGGCCTGCTCTCTCTGCCTGAGCGCCTCCAGCTCCTGAGAGTCTCTCTGCTTCTCTTCAGCTGATCGAGCCTGACCCGCACTCACCAGGGCTTCAGGGGTCTGAGGGGTGCAGAACCATGAAATATACATTATTCAGTGGTTTTAGCAACTTACTCACACATTAGCACAGTTTTTTGTTTTTTTGTTTTTTTTTACATTTTGTAGCTCAAAATATTTTGGTGCAAGGACAAGGTTTTGGCAACAGCCAATGTGGCGCTACAACCTCTTCATCTGGTGGGGTTTAATACTTGATTTTCAAAGCATAACAACAAAAATCTTCAGCAAGTTAATCATATAACTATTGTAAATTCATATTTTGCTTCAAGGGCTTTAAAGTTTAATAGTTTTGTATTTGGCACCAGACATAACATAGTGGAGCTGGCCAAAGCTTTGCAAATATAGCAGCAGCAGCCAGACTGAGTTGTACCTGGTCCCTGAACATGAGGGAGATGATCTCCAGGACGTGCATGCTCCACTGCTGCTCGCTCTGAGCAGACGACAGAAACTTCACCAGGTCATCAAAGCCGCTCATGTGAAGAGCCCACAGCACACGGTCATGGATACTCGCGTCATCATCCACCTTCTGTGTGAAGACAGAGGACAGCACTGAGTTACATAGAGCTGTTACACACATGGGGTACTGGCATAGCATTATGTTTTACTGGTATATTGATTTAACTAATTAACTACAGCTATGAAACACTGCATCTTGTATCTTCAGTTCAAACAGATCAGGCCAGTTGTAACATATTTATATTGCTTATACATTGATGTGAAGACATGGGGTGAGAAGTAAGCTTGCCCTTTCAAAACAACTTGTTATTTCAAACACTGATAATGACTATTATTAGCTAAAGAATATTGGATATCTGATTAAAATTTGTTGGATTATATAAATTAGTAAAAAAGATGAGATCAAGGATTAAAACAGGGTTATGTTTGTAACACCATTTGATATGCATCTATTTCTCACTGATAGTAAAAATACGTATAAGTACTTTTTGTATTGTATTACTTCCCAACACTGGCTGCTGAGGAACAATCACAGCCTTTGGGGTTTGAAATTGAGCAGAGACATTAAGTGCTACAGTCTGACCTTCTCCTCATTGGGATCAGCTGGAATATGAAGCACGTTTCTGACCAAGATCAGAATCCTTTCAATGAGCAGATTGTCCTCCTCCTGCCTCTGCTCCCAGTCCTTAAAACAAGGACAAATAATAAAGTCAGTTATATAAAATTCTAAATAAGCACATTGTTTGTATATGTCTGCAATTGTCTAAATGTGCAAGACTATGATATATGTTCATTTACATTTTCTGTTTTTGTTGTTCTGTTTTGTTTATTGTTTAATACGTGTAAGAAAATATATTATTTCAATTAGGAAAAAAATTGAATTAAATAAATTATAGTATGTCAGAGAAAGATAAATACTCACCAGTTGTAACAGATTGTACAGTGTCTCACTTAACACACCAAACACCTTTTCACTGGCAAAGGCCTAAAGGCAGCATCAAACAAAATGTATTAGATATACATAAACTCACAAGGGAAGTTATTAAAACATTACCTCTTTATAAGCTTGTAAATGGGATGTAACTTCTAAAAAGTGGTGTCTGAACACAGGGTCATCGGGCACTTTCCCAAAACAAAGCATGGCGGGCTGCGTGAGGTTCACCATGAGCCTAAGCAGACAAAAGCAATAGAATATTACAACCCTTAGGAGGATGAAAACATACAAGAAAATATTGCAAATGTAACATTTTACCTTCCTATAATACAATCAGAAGTGGGAGATATATTAAAAGCTTATGATCGTAACTGTTTTAGACTGGCAAAATTTGAATACTGAGTATACCGTTTACAAGAAATACTTTATTGATCCCTTGTGAGGAAAAAAAGCAGGTCAAAAATAAAAAATAAACAATAAAAATGTAAATTTTATCTTTCAAAACAACATCACTGTATTATCTAAATATTGTTGGGGATAACTGAGATATTCGGGAGAATACAAAACAATACTGAGATATACACTTTTGTCAATGATCCCACCTTGACTTTTTGATTCAGTGGCATTTAATAGTCCTAGTCTGACAAGAACAATCAATATGAAGAAGAAAAATAAGTCCTCTACAGTGACCTCACCTGATACATGCGTCAAACAGAAGCTTGTCCTGCCCGTGTTGGACAATAATTGGGAGGAGGTCATTTTGGACGATCTGACTCGCTCCAAGCTGCTGCCGCACGTCCCGAGTGTCATCCTCGTGACGCAGGTACCGGATCAGGTCTTTAACACTCTCTGCAACAAGCAACAAGGAACAAGACTTTATCAGAGCACCAGTAAAGGGCATTTTCTTCATACTCATTTAGGGACAATGAGTGGAAAAATATCTAATTGTGATTTTTCTGGCCAGCACTGCAGTTGATGTATTGATAATAGGATTTGACAAACTACTACAAGAATAAAATTTTAGGTAATGTTTCTAAAGATCTAAACTACAAGGTTAGCAGGGTTTTTTTGCAGAATAAGGGAAGATATTTGGCTGTGGGGAAAACTGTAGTGCTTCATAAATTGCAGCCTTTGCAATTTGCTAATTGAGTCCAATCAAACTGCAATTTCATTTTGATAATGATGAATTGTGCAACTCTACCCCTGACAAATCTATTTAAGACATCAAATCATTTAAAATGTAAAATCTGCAAAATCTGAGCTGAAGGCTTGTCGATTAAAAAATTCCCAAGAAGACCTCAGATTTTGTCATGACTGGACTTTAAAACAACACAGTCTAATATTACAGCTGTACTACTGAATTGAAGTATTAAAAGCCCATTTCAACATCCCTTGGCTAGTTGAACAATACAAAACTGAGGGGATCTCAAGACAAAAAGGCTTCTAACACACTGCTGTAGCCCACAATAATACTGTACAACACAACAAAAATTTACCTTACCTTAATAAACAAACATGACATAAAACATTAAAACATACACTCACCTAAACAGTCGAACTCTTTATGGTAGACATCTCCCTCCAGATACCCCAGAGCGCTGCATGTGGCCAGTAACTCACAGTCCATTTTCTGTTGATTCTCTGCACCATGTGCAAAGGTCCAGGTGGAGGGTCAGTCTGAAGAATTAAACAAAGGCAAAATAAAGGGGTGTTGTTTGAAAAAAATGCACATGAAACTATAAAAATCTGACCTGATATATGTTAATAATAAAAAAAGGTAAATGTGGCAACTGAAACAAAATAATTAAAGTATCCAAGAATAAGGTGTTTAAATATATAGAAAGTCGATAGACGTATATAACTGAAATCAATTGCTAAATAATTGTTCTAATTTATTATGACAAGTGAACATTTTACTTTTGACCGTATTAAGCATCATTTTATATGCATAATTTACTAATACAACACTTGTCTTTATTCTTTATTCTCAAAAATGCAGTATCAATATGAAACATTTGATATTTTTACAGACAATTTTAATCTTTCCATTTCTTTATTCCTTGTTATGCTAGCAACTTATTCTTGAGATGGCAGATCATATCCTATAATATTTTACTTTTTTTTATTTATTAAGGTAAATGAAACGTTGTTTAGTGAGTGTACATTTCTAACGTCAAATTTAGCTTCCAACGTTAGTGTGAGTGAACTGTCAAAGTTTCAAGCGGTTAGCCACAATTTTAATCCACATTTTCTTCTACTAACCTGTTCAACCCAAGTCTGCAATTTGCTCCGATTCCGAACGAGATCTAGACAGATTTTGAGGCACCTTTTTTTTTAAACTTTTCTCTGATAACTCAGCAGCACATCAGAAAAAGAAAACATGACACTACTCCCGCGCCAAGACCAAGCAAGCGCCGCCCAAACCAGAAGTGACGTCAGATTAGACACTGTTTTCTCCGCGTTTTGTCTCTCAGGCGTCGATTTTCAGATTTCTTCAGCCCATTTTTTATCCTTCAAGTCAACAAGAAACAAGGCACGTGTAAAATTTTGCTAATTCTTTCAAATAATCAGTTAAACATAAAACACGACACATTTATTTATGTCTTTAATTAACTTATGTTGTGTGTTTGCTTTGAAAATGAGATAATGGAAATGTCTGGTTTTGTAGAAATTAACTTTTTTTAAAACTGTTTTATATTTCAGGTCATTAGCATGTCTTTGAAGAGGAAAATCTGGGTGAGAAATATAAGCACTCACTGTCATTTTTCTATTGAGGGTGACCAGACGTCCCTATTAACCTGGAACAGTCCCAATTTTGAGCCTTGTGTTACACCATGACGACTGCATTAAAAAAAAAGGTGAGAAATATAAGCACTCACTGTCATTTTTCTATTGAGGGTGACCAGACGTCCCTATTAACCTGGAACAGTCCCAATTTTGAGCCTTGTGTTACACCATGACGACTGCATTAAAAAAAAAGGTGAGAAATATAAGCACTCACTGTCATTTTTCTATTGAGGGTGACCAGACGTCCCTATTAACCTGGAACAGTCCCAATTTTGAGCCTTGTGTTACACCATGACGACTGCATAAAAAAAAAAAAAAAAAAAAAAAACATTTTTAAGGTAAGAAAAAAATATCAGAGTGTGGAGGGTCGTTTGATACAAAATGGAAATGCCGCCACTTGCCTTCCCCTCTCAAAACCATTGATTTGTTTTATATAAGAAATGTGCCAGGTGTCCTTATTTTTGACCAATACCTGCCAACAGCAAAGAGAGGCATAAATTGTCACTTGTTGTGGTAAAATACAGAAAAGCTGCTTAAAAATGACCAAAACACAAAGAAAACGTGATTATACTGACTCACGTTAGTGCCTATAACATTTTTTCCTTAATTACACACATTTCACAATTTTATTATTACCAACAACCCAAACCAGGGATGCCCTAGTATTTTACTTTGAAAATCTGGTCACCGTACTTCTGATGCTTGTCTCCATGGAGATATTGCTTTGCCTGTAATATGAAATGTAGGTGTCCTGCATTAATTCCATCAAGTTTTTTTTACAATAATTCTTACTCTGAGTGAGATCGCCTCTCCACAAATCTAACCTGTAACACACATCTTTGTCACACATCTTGACTTCATGAAGACAGACAGTTTAAAGTCATACTGTGGAATATTCTAAACAAAGATTGATTCATTCATTCATTCATTTTTATTTCGAGTTTGTGCCAAGAGAGAAACAATAATCATATATACTACATATACATTGTAAACAACAGAAAAGCACATTTCTCGAAAAGGAGTGGGAAGAAGAAAAACTTAGATGAACCCACCCCTGTTCATGACATAGTTTCAAAATGTATGTGGTTGCTTCTGTACATTGATCACAGAAGAAATATTATTGTTTGTATGAATCAAATTATTATTACCACTTTTAAATACTATTAATACTAACTGACTACTTTTTAAGTATTCTGTCACAGCATATACTAATTGAGGTAGAGCGATGCATATTAAATTCTATAATCAATATTTCATTTTAGATACAGAGCCAAGTGTGTTTTTAGAAAGTACACATTTTGCATCATGTCTAGACACACTGATGCATCACTCTTTATTTCATTGTAAAACTCTCCATCTTGATTTATAACCCTCTTTGAAGCCTGTAAAACTTTGTGTACTTTTTTATAGTAGTTGGTCTAATTCAATAATGGACACAGACACTTTTACTCATTTGTTTGATTTTATTAGCACTACATTGTCATTCATCAAACCGTGCCAGTTACACACAGCGTCGCGAAAGCACGTTCAGCAAAAGCTTTTTCTCGTCATTTCTGTGTGTTACATCTACTCCTATTATACTAACATTACCCATGTCTTTGGTAATTCAATCAGAGGACTGCGAAGCTTCCAAAACAATACAAGCTAACATTAATCGTCTACATTGCATTAAGGAAAAGGGCAGTGTCTGGTGTTTTTGTTAGTACGCTGAGACAGATCATTGCAAATATGGCTATAAAGGTGGATTGCACTGTAAAACAAGGCCTCTAGTGGTAAGTTAGAACAGTTAGCATAGCTCCACAGATTAGCAGACAATATGTGGCAAAAAGTGGCGTGGTTAGCACCGAGGTGGACATCTTTTTCTAAAGATTCATTCAACAGCATCTATACTGCAGAGAGACAGTCAGCAGAGAGGAATCAGGAGTTAGTTTTCAATATTTTTTTAATGTTTTATTTTTTATTCTTGCATGGCACTGGCTTCCTGGTATTGGTTGGTCTAATCGTCGTTTTCATCCTTGCCACGGCGAGAGTCCTTCTCTGTCCTGGACTCCTTTACAACCTGCAGAAAAACATCATATAATGCACTTTATTTTGTATTCAATTATTCATTTGGACTCATGAACACTATATAACAATATAACAGTAGTGTCCAAACTTTTTTCACAAAGGGCCACATTTTGAAACAGTATATGGAGCTAAGGGCCACAGGTGCGGGGCAAGAATGTTAAATTTGAGGTTTGACAGAGCTACCACATCTTTGATAAGTCTAGGAATAGTTATATTCTGTCTGTACCACATCAAATTGATTGTTATTTCTTTCATAATAGCTGAAATTTCAAACATTTGCAGAAAAAAAGTCGGCCAACAATAGTTATTCTGAGTGCGGCATTTGGCAATAGTTTGGACACCTTTGCTCTGTGTACTTTAAAACACAAGTTACTGTCACTTTAATACACTGTTATTAACCTACTTGCTCTGATAGTTTGTCCTGCCCATATTGTATATTTTGTATTCATATATCAAAGTCTGTTTGACCTTATTTCAATGCATGGCCTTATGTTAACTTTATCATAGCTTATATTATTATTTGTATTTGTTTTATGTTGCACCAGAACACCAAAGCAAGTTCCTAGTTTTGTTCACTGACAATGGGAATAAAACTGATTCTGATTTACAGTTTTAAAGAACCAACTAAAACGTAATCAAAAAGAAATCTGTGCATTCAAAGAAAACCTTTGACCAAAATAAAATGTACCAAGAAAAAGCCAAATGCACAATGCTCCTGTATAAACATATATATAACACATAGGCATAGACTGAGATGTAATTTATTATATTTTTTGCTCCGATCTATGTTGAATAAAAACACCTGCGTAGAATGTTTCACAGTGTGGCATTAAGCATATATATCTTGCATTCATTCAAGTACAGGTATTTTTATTGCTGAAAAATTCCACAAAACATGCATGCTTACTGTGTATGGGGTTGCCTCTCCAAAGATCTCACCAGTACCTTGGTCTGGTGACGTCACCTGCTTGTCTCCGTGGAGGTAGATAAGCCTAATGCCATACTGTGGAGCATTCTAGGCAAAGCAATAACATCTCCATGGATACAAGCAGGTGGCTGACCCTCTAAATAATAATAATACATTTATATCTACCCTGGCATTTTCCAAAACAATCTTGTCCCTTTTCTTGCTTGTTTTAGTCTCTTTTCTAAACGTACCTCTCCATCACGGGTCTCCACAGTCTTGATGACCACCGGCTTCTTGCCCTGATCCCTGGGAGTCTGCTCATAGTCTGAAACACACAGGGGAATACATAAATATATATGAATGAAACGGATTAACTAACTATCATGAAGCATTGCTAGAGCCAGTGCTTTGTTTTAACACTTACCACGGTCTCCAAGATGGTTAGTCATGCCCATACCGATGGGAATAGTAATCCTGTAAACGAGATCATGAAAATGCATAATTCTGTTGACGTTACATTGAGAGCAAAATTTGGTGGTAGTGTTTTCTTTTTAGAATGCAGTTTGGATCTGGTTTATGGTTAATGTCTCTATAATTACTGGCCTTATCAACATGAAAAAAATTGTTCAAAGTTTATTTATTTTTTCTGTGATTTTTCTTGCTATAAAATGAAAAAGTGATGATAATATTCCACATACATGCTAAATTATTTACAGTTGAAATGACTTCATGCCGAAAGATTAATATGACAGTCTCACAGATGTAGATTATCAGTTAAGGTTCTGTAACCTTAATGTATTTGGGTATTTGTCCTTCCCCATTTCAGACATATTGTGTAAGCAGCTCTTGAGGTCAAAATATGTCCATGGGTACTCTCTGCTTCTAATTAAAAAGTGCTTTATTGTTCAGTTTTCAGGAGGTGATTATAAACTCATATGTGAATAATTAGGATGCACGAGGTAAGCAAGGAATAAATGGACCTCTGCAAGCCATTTTTAGTTCTGTTTTTACATTTTTAAGACAGTAAAAATCCCGCACAGTGCCTTTAAATTCTTTTTTTCAAAAACAGTGAACTTTGCATATACCGTAGTTATGCACGGTAGTCTCCTATAGGCCCTCCATCTGAAATCATATCATTCCATTATACTGTTGCTGACCTGCTCTCCTCTCCTTCCAGCAGCTTCCTGTAGGTGGCGATCTCGATGTCCAGGGCCATCTTGACATTGAGCAGGTCCTGGTACTCGCGCAGATGTCGGGCCATCTCCTCCTTCAGGTGTCGGATCTCCTCCTCCAGACGAGACACATTGTCCTGGTAGTTTGTGATCTCGTTGCCAAACTGGTCCTCCATCTCTCGCATCTGACGCAGCAGAGCCTCGTTCTGAAATCAACAGGAAACTTAAGTGAGTCTTGTAGTAATAATATAAGCTTAATTTATACAGCACCACGTATACAGTATGTGGTAAATGTTGTAGCAGTAACAGTCATAGTAGCAACAGTAGCAGTAACAGTTTAAACCAAACTTCACTAATTGCAATTAAAGTACAAGTTTGAGTGTTGTTGTTTTTTTTTTGCAGCAGCAGTCTGTTGAGGTAGAAGTAGTAGCACATGTACTAGTATAGCAGTTGTTGCAGCAGTAGTAGTATTAGTGTCTGTAATAGGTGTGACAGTAGTTGTATTGCTACTAAGAGTATTTGTAGCAGTAGTAGTAGAATCAGTAACAGTAGTAGTGGAACTAATGGCCGTAGTATAAGTACTGTAGTAGTATAATTGTTACCGTGTTCTTGAGAGCATCGATCTCACAGTTGAGGGACTGAATCTGCCTCCTGGACTCATTAGCCTCCTGTTTGGCCTGCCTCAGAGCGTCAGTGTTACGTTTGGCAGACTCAGTTAGATCTGCAAACTGCAAAAGGAAACACAAAATACATGGATGTAAATAATATAGTACATTAATTTAATTAATGGTCTACTGCTCTTCTTGTACTTTGATGTTTGTTCTTATTGTTGGACAAATAAATGTTTTTTTCTTAACTGTTGTGTGTTCTTGTGGTCTTTCTCATACCTTGGACTTGTACCACTCCTCAGACTCCTGCATGTTCTTCATGGCAATGTTCTCGTACTGAGCCCTGATGTCACGCAGAGCTCCGGTCAGGTCAGGACGGTTTGTGCTCTCCACCTCCATCTTCAGCTGATGGGTCTGCACGCTCACCTGCACGTCCTGGATCTCCTATGGCAACAGACAATGGACAGAAAGTTTAGTATTTATGGAGGTTTTTGTCACATGCTGAACAGTTTCTTTAAAGGAGGCATATGAGGTAAAGTTGACATTAATGCACTTTCAACTATGTTAAAATGGTGGTCCTTGGTGTTTATGTTTGACAACATGAGGAAGCACCTGTATGGTGCTGCATTTGAGACTTGAGTGCTCAGAAATTTTCAGTTTTTGTCCACTCTCTATCTCCACCCAGTGCTCTGTACTTACCTTCAAAGAATTTAGACCCAAATCATATATATTTAGTATATCATATATTTAGCTTTCTGTGATGACCATAAACCACCAACTGATAATAACATATTTGAAGTTTGCAGTTTTTTCCTGACCTCATCATGGAGTTTCTTGAGGAATTCAATCTCGTCCATCAAAGACTCGATCTTCCTCTCCAGCTCCAGACGAGATAAAGTGGCATCGTCCACATCCTGAAAGCATAAAGTATGTTTCACTTCATGTTTTATATATGATTTTATAATTTACATGTTATAGTATACTCAACAAAGTATATATTTATATACTAATATATATTCTATTATTTTACACATACATAAACCCATCAAATGCCCTTTATCTCTTTTATTTTAAACAATCCAAAATGAGCTATCTATGTGCTTAAAGACAATTTATTCACATACTGTTCCAGCCTGGATTGAACCAAAGTCACTAGTCATTCGACTATAGTTTAAGTTTAGTGTTTCTTATACTTTAAATCTTTTGAAATGTACTTTGAATACAAACCCAACCAGTCCAAACTTCATGTACCCCAGTAATTTTAATATTAGAATAAGAATACATTAGATTGCCTGATACTTTAGCTAGTTAGTCACAATACTACTTCAGACTTCAAAACTGTGTCATATTTGTCTTTTTTCAGTTTAAATGACCAGCTAGCTTTGATAATAGATTTAGAACTCAACTTACAGCTCAAATATTAACATGCAAGAAAATGATTGAAGTAAAACTGGTAGAATACAAATTCTCTCCACTTTCAATTGGTCTTAGACATTTTGGTCATTTTAATCTTTTAGGCTTCATTTATAATAGGCTCATCTACAATTTTCTGTCAGACGAAGCCTTAAAATACCCCAAAGACATAGAACTCATTTGGCGCTTTCATTTATTATTTACATGTCATTTGTCACCAAAATGTCACGCCCTTTTTCTCCCCTGCCCTCTGCCATACCTCTGTGTCACTTGAGCTGAGGGCGTATTGATCAATGTAAATGACTGTTCAATATTTACCTTACGGAATGCAACCAGGTTATTCTCTGCATCCGCCCTTTTCTGGGTCTCCTCATCCAGTCTAACAAGACAAAGCACAAACATATTTTTTAATGTTTAGGTCCTTTATTACACAAAATGGACTCTTATGAACTTTTAGCTATGTTTAAATGTTTTTACTTAATCAAAAACAGACCTGAAGTTGTGTTTTGTTTCATTCACACATGTTTAAGTAATGCTTTATTATTAGTCTGGCTACATCTTCCAAGCTTAAAATGTTCTATTCCACCTTGTAATGTCATGTAGTGGTAGTTTTCAAGTTAACAGCTCTTTTTACCTTTAGTTCAGTAGTGACTGGCAGTTCCAGGGCTGAAATGATCCAAATAATTCTAGTGAAGGTGTATGGAGTTTAAAAAGATAGTGGAGCATTTCCTGTATTACCACATGACATCATAAGGTGGAACAAAGTATTTTCTGTTTGAGAGGACTAAATATGCAGGATGTTTGTGTTAAACGTGTGAATGAAGCAATACACAATAGGTATTTCTGTTTTGAGGAAACAACGTTATAAAGTAATATGGGCCCATTAAAACCTGGAGGAGGGAAAAAAGATATTGTACCAGATTTGTTTTAATAACTAACAATAGCACTTTCTTTATGTTACCATGAGCTCAAATGTATACTAACACTGTTCAGGAAAACTGGAAAGCTGAAATTATGTCCAAATGAGTATCTAGTTTTGATATTATTTTTAAGAATCAGTTAGTATCTGATTTTCAATAGTTTTGTCAACCTTATCCTGAAATTTGCGTTATTAAAGACTAAACCATCTAAGGATGATTTTAGTCTTGGTTTAATTACTGTAAGTTAGTTTTTAGACTTGATTCAGTACACGACTAAATCATATTGACAATGTCACATCTCTTAAGCTAAGCAGGGCTGGTCTGGTTAGTACTTTGATGAGAGACTGCTGTTAATGTCAGTAACGACAACAACAACAACCACAGTGTTGTTGACACTTCACTCATATCGCTCAGTATAAATGTGTGTGTGCATTAGCCTTGGTGGTGGTTGAAGGGGCCAATGGAGCAGATTGGCAGCCTCACCTCTGTCAGTTTACCCCAGGGCAGCTGTGGCTACAAGAGTGTTTTGCCAGCACCAAGGAGTGAGTTAATAAGGTAATATAAATCGTCCAAAAAATGCTAAATAGATTGAATGCATTATTAGTAGTAATTGTAGTACTGTAAGTATTGTCCCATTTAGTCATTGTATAATACTATTTTTTTGTCCAGTAGTTGATTGGTTAAAGTTTAGTTTTGGTGAAATCAAGACCTTTGTTGTTCCTGGTTTCAAATCTGTTTAACTAGTTAAATAAGTCCTAGTTTAAGTCAGTGATCATCTTTTAAATGGAACATTCAGATTCATAATAAACCTTTTGACCAGGTTTAGTCCTTGTTAAAAAGGGGTTCAGTCTTAGGTTAATTTAGCTTTCAAATATAAAACCACACACCTCAAAAATTATGAATAAAATATAAAATTATATAGTCGTATTAATAGAATTAGACTCGGTTTCTGATTTCCCAGGATGCACTGGGGCACAGCTGGCTAAAAGCTTTCAGGATCAATCTTGTTAATTCGGGGGTTGGAGAGAGTCCAGGGGGAGCGGCAGATGCTACACTTGGCTAATGTCATTGTACTGTGGGTCAGTGGGGTCAAAACATGAGGTGCTTTCAATCAGGTCCTCGTCCCAAATCATTTAAAAGCTTTTAGAGAGAACACTGCACGTCAAGTCATTTTATCATTTCATACTGGAATAAAGGAGCGGCATCCATTTTGTTTCTATTTTTAATTTTGAAGAATCAGATAAGAATGTAATATGCAACAAAAGACAAGCTAATGCTATGATAAATGGCAAGTCATTTAGCTTTGGAACTATGCCCATATTCATACACTAGTTCTTTATTGGTAAAGGCAATCAGCTGAATGTTGCTTCACATTTCCAAGAACATAATGTAAGATGGACGATAAAATATATTGAATTGTGATGGGCTAATCTAGAAAAATTGCTATTGTAGTGTTGTTATGATACAAATTTTCAAACTCAATGCAGATACTAAGAAACTCTATACTCAGCTCTATGCACAAGCAACAAAGTTATCTGTACATAATCTGTATTTATTAATGAAAAAAATGAACATATTTGGTGGAATATTTATAGTTGTTATACATTGATGCTTTGGGAATCTAACAATCCTGGGCCCTACAGGCTAATAGAATTGTACGAAAGATTAATGATTCCTTATGTTTAGGCATTATTAATTGTCCCTCTCTGTTTCCAAGGCTAAATGCTTTGACCCTGTGCATCCATCCTTCTTTATAACCAGATTACACCAGTGCTCTCTAGTTACCTCATTCTTCATTTATTAATTTCTGCACTGAGATCACGAAATCGCTGTCTCATCCTGGTTTAGATCTGGTTTGATTGGATTGGTTTGGTCCTAGTTTGGTCCTGGTTTAGACCTAGTATTGAGTCCTGGTTTACTGTAAGTATTCCAGTCCTTGTTTAGTTCTGGTTTAGTTCAAGTATTTTAATTAATCCTGGATTAGTTATTTTATTACTGGTTTAGTCCAAGAATTTTAGTGCTGGTTTAGTTCTGGTTTAATCCTGGATTGGTCCTGGTTTAGTTATTTTAGTACTGGTTTAGTCCAAGAATTTTAGTGCTGGTTTAGTTCTGGTTTAGTTTGGGTTGATACCTGATTTAGACTTAGTATAGTCCTGATTTAGTCTCGGTTTTGTCCTGATTTTGTTCTGGTTTGGCCATGGATCAAATCTGGTTTAGTCCAGATTAAGATTAACCATGTCCATGCCAAATCAAACATTAAACTCAACTCAAGTTTTAGTTTAGTTCTGATTTAGCCACACATTTTAGTTGCAACCCTGGTTAAGTATAAAATTGTAGTTCAGGTTCTCTTGACTTGCTTAAGTCATAGTTTCATTCAGACATAGTTCCTGGAATAATCTAAAAATTGGGTTCCAGTTAAATCCTGGTTCAGATGGTTAAATCCTGTACTTTGTAACTTTCCTTGTGGATTGTCAACTGCTTGTCTCCATGGAGATGTTATTGGATTATCCCTAATGTTTCAGAGTACATTATTAAACGTATCTCCTTGGAAACAAGCAGATGACAGCATAGGACAGGTCAGAGTTGCGGAAATTACATATTTTTCATTTCAAACACCTGTAATTGAATAACCTGCAAATTAGATCAGTTAAATGACTGTGGAACATTCCAGGCAAAGCAATAACATCTCCATGGAGACAAGCAGGTGGCATAAATGTTACCCAGTGTACCTTTAATAACCTCATTCTTAATTCATGTTTTATGGCACCTCCCTGTAGTTTTTCTGTAATAGTCAGTCTGCCCTGGCCCCTAAAGCTCAGAGCTACAATGAAACCCACACCTAATGGAGTCACCAAAGACCATTGATTTTCCTCTGACCACACTGACACCCAACACCCCCAGAGCTCTGGACACACACTAAACCAGGACTAAACCAAGACTGAACCAGGACTAAACCAGGACTAAGCAAGGTCTAAACCAAGGCTGAATCAGGACAAAACCAGGACCTAAACAGGACTAAATCAGAACTAAAACCAGAAGGACTGAATCAGAACAGAACCAAGACAGAACAAGGACTAAACCAGGACTGAATCAGGACTACAGAAGGACTAAGCTTGGTCTAAACCAGGGCTGAACTAGAGCTAAACCAGGACTGAACCAGGACTGACCCAGGACTAAACCAGAACCTAAACTGGACTAAACCAGAACTAAAACCAGACGGGTTGAATCAGAACTGAACCAGGATGGAACAAGGACTAAACCAGGACCTAAACAGGGCTAAAGCCAGAACTAAAACCAGAATTAAATCCAGGGCTGAATCAGAACTGAACCATGACAGAACAAGGACTAAACCAAGACTAAAACCGGCAAGGAATAAATCAGAATTAAACTAGGACTAAACCAGATCTGAACTAGGAGCTAGGAACTAAACAAGGTTTAAATCAGGATTAGAACTACACCAGGATTAATTAAATACAATTAAACCCAGACCTAAACTAGGACTAAACTTGGTCTAAACCAGGATTCAAACAGGACCAAGGACAGCGCCACAGTTCAAACCCTTTTTTTTGTTCAAATCTGATGATATAATACTGGGCTATATGAAAATAAATTGAATTGAAGCTAAAGAAAAGCCTGACACAAATCAAATCTGACCCAGGCCTAAAACCAGGTCTTAACCAGGTCTAAACTAGGACTAAAAGTGGGCGTGTGTTGGTGTAAATGTGATGAACCACCACCTCCTCCTCCTCTTTCCTCCCGTAAACTGCCCCACCCACATCTGCCCCACCCAGTCTGCTCTCTCTGTCTCTGTCTCTGTCTCTGTCCTGCCTCCATTAGATCAGAGTTAAACATCAATATCTGTGGTCCATCCAAATCTGTACCACTATAGGCAAACAGCTAGAGGGCTTAAACTGTTAGTATTTCAGTTTCCTTTTAGCGAGTTAATGCTTCTATAGTGCTACTATTCATTCTATAGAAAAAAAATAAAATAAAATGATATTGCAAATAATTGGATAAATCTTGATACTTTGAAAGCTCATATTGGTATTTGCTCTAAAAAGGTGTAGATAGATAATAATAGTGTGGTATAAAGATTACGAGAACTATGCATTGTAAAAAAAAAAAATTAAATTGAGTGTGATGAGTAAAAGTAAAGTTGAATTGTTGTTAACTTGTTATTTTAATTTATATTATGTAGTTAACTTAAAAAAGTAAGTAATAAAGTAATGACCTATTAAAGGATTGTAACAGAAGAAAGTGTACTAAGTCAACTATTAGTACTGTGCAAAAATATTTAAACTAATAATATATTGCAAACTATGGTCCTTTGAATTGTTCCACTGTATAACGTATATGCATGTGTAATAATTGTGTAGTAAATGTGTAGTTAACATTTACATTGTAAAAATGCATGGCCCATGTGTGATCCATGATGCAATGCAGTGTCCCATGACATGTCTGCAGAGGTGCCACGCCCAACAGCACGACTGCACCCACAATCTTTACAACTGCAACATCCACATGGAAACATGGAAATATAAAACTGAAACTAAAACCACAAAAATACATGAAAATCTGTACTTTCATGTTCTTTAAACTCCTAATGCTCTTGGGATACACTTGTTGGTCACTTGCATGTTCTCTTAAATTACTTTTTGTATCTATCATATCAAATCTACTATGTAACTTTTCATAGTAAAAAAAAAAACTTGTTAAAATATGTAATAACACTATAAAAAAAATTTAAAGTCACTTTGTGTTGTTTTTGCATTTCTGAGTCATTCCGTGAACTAGCATCTTTTAAGCAAGCAAATTCCCCCAAAACATTTTCAGTTTTTCTATTTCAGAAGCAATTGAACATGTAATTTGTACATTTGCATTAAATGAGTCAAAAATGTTACTTAGCTGAACTTAATACACACATTAAGATACATTTGTGTAATTTAATCCAGTTTTATATTTGGAAATATGTCAAAATAATATTGTATAGACTCACATTTTAAGATTATAACAATTGAAATTTAGTGTTTATGTAATAACCATTACACAATGTGATGCCACACTCCCAAATGGGGCAAGAGACAGTTTTTCCTATTGATAACATTGTATCTTGCTATAAAATATCCAAAATTAAATTCTAAAAATGTTACACCGTATAATTTCTATTAGTGACCAACCCTAGAACTCAATGTATTATCGCAAAAATCAGCTTTTTGACAATATTCATTTTAGCTGCCCCCTTGTGTATTAAATATCATGGGGCTATAGTATGTTATGATGTCATCTGAAACAACCTAGCATATGTGTAACTTTTTAATCTATTTTTGACAGTGAGTTACCCACCTTTGCTTGAGCAGGTTCAGGTCTTCCGCCAGGTTATCTCTCTCCATCTGATACTGGTCCCTCTCTTTCCCGATGGCTTCCATCTGCCTGCGCATCTCCCTCATCTCCTCCTGGAACAGATCAGTGGCACGGTTGGGCTGCCCCTGCTGCGCCTGCCCCTTAAACTGATTCAGCTCTTGGGTCAATGCTCCATTCTGCTGCTCCAGGTACCTCACTTTCTCGATAAAACTGGCGAAACGATCATTCAGCTCTTGCAGTTCGGCTTTCTCGTTGCTCCTGGTGGCTAGGAAATCCTGGTTGATGGCTTCGGCTAGCGTGAAGTCAACTTTGTCATAGGAGATTCGTGGGGGCTGCTGGGGTCTCGAGCTGCGTTGAGAGTGGTAGGATGTGGATGTAGTTGAACGCATAGGAGACATGGAGTGGCCATAGCGACCACCTGATGGCATTCGCGAGGATACGGAAGAATAGGAGGACATAGAGATGGGATGAGGGCTACCGAAAGTGCGGCGGTAAGAAGTAGAATGCAGGGCGGAGTGGCTCATGGTTGGTAGGTTTTGGTTGTAGTAGCAGAGGAGAGTTGTAGAAGAAGAAGAGGTGGTGATGCGGAGATGCGCTGAAGGCAACAGGGCATGTGCAGAACAGCGAGGGGGGTTTTATGGGCAGAGGGAGCGTAACACACCCACAATGCACCCCTCCCATCGCAGACACATGAGCTACTGGCCACTCCCTACTGTCCCATCCCACACGGAGGAACAGAGGAGCACAGCATGTATGTGAGGAGAGAGAGAGAAAGAGATGGATGATTTTGTATCTTTTTTAATAATAATACATTTGTTTATACAGCATCTTTTCTGTAAATATGCAGTTCAGTGCGCTTTTCACTAGTGTTGTCACGATACTGAAATTAGAAACTCAATTGAGAGAAAACTGAGTTTTTTCGGCAGGCAGAAAAGGACCGCATTGTTCTATTTGGATTATTTTTTACCTATGTTAGCGCTATGTTATATGTAGTTGTGTGTGATTGACCGTAGCACTTTGAGATTTGTTTTGTATGTAAATTGTAATATATATAGGAATGTATTGTTATTATTAGTAGTAGTAGGCTTACAATAACACCTGAACATTGCAGACATAGCTAAACGTGATACAAGGATGTATAATTAACACTCAAAGCAATTACTTAACATATTTATTTAAAGTCATCTTACATTTTTATTTAAAGTCGGCTTTCATTTTTTTATGTGTCACAATAGATACTTCTAAATACAAATCATTTGCATTAGGTTGACAGAAAACTATTTGATGGAAAATTCTGACTAAGGATCAGAGTATATATATATATATATATATATATATATTAGTTTATGTTATCTGTTTTATTAAATTAGTTTTATGGGTTGTAAGTTAGTACAGTAATCCACAACATTTTAACTTATAACACAATCTTTTCACTTATAATTCTATATGATGTGTCTGAGATCAGAGTGTACTCATCCTCCCCGTGTTACTGTCTCCTCCTCCACACCAGAGACATGCATGTGTTAGCAGAATATTGATTACGGCACAGTGAATGAATGAGAGTGGGGATGGTGGTCTGTCAGCATATGTCTTTAGCCCGGACTGCAACTGGAAACTGCTGATGCTGTACCTGACCCATTACTGACAGCTATATTTAAACTGCTTCACTCTTCAGTGAGACGCAGAGCGCCCTCTGCTGCTGTTTTTCATACACAAACTACATAGCATCCAGAAGTCCTTGAAGTATATTATCATGACACAATTCAAGTTTTATGACTTTATGGTATCAGTGCAGTGGATCAGTAGTTGAGGTATTCACCCACCAACCCAAAGGTCAGAGGTTTGATCCCAGATATGAAGAGTGCATGTGGTTGTTGTGTTCTTGAACAAGACACCCACACTGTTTGTGTCACAACTCAACAAGGTGAGGACCCAAAAGCAGATGAAAACCAGGGAAGTTTTAACAATGATTTATTTACAGGAACTGAGGAATATTGCAGGAATTGGAGACTGGTCCGGGAGCAGCAAGTAAGTGGAGAAGGCAGGGCAGAAATGGCTGGAACTGGAGCTGGAGGTGGAGCAGGAGCAAGCAGACTGATGGAGGAGCTGGAGCAGGTAAGTAAAAATAGCGAAATCCACTTGCCAAACAATCAGAAAAAGTCCGAAGCAAAAGTTCATCACATAGGATAACTGACGGTCTGGCAGAGCTGGTAAGCAGAGCTCTGGCTTTTATACTGATGATGATGATGATGATAGACTGTGTGGAAGCCCAAGAGCAGGAGGAGGAGCCATGGCCACGTCCAACAGTTCCAGGTAAGGCAGATAACAAGGCAGGTGTGGGGAGAGGGAGGACAGGGAGAAATGGAAAATCCAGGGTGTACTATGACATGACAGTTTGTGTGTGAATGTGTTATGTGTGTGAGTGTTGGTGGGGGTCAGAGCTACCAGTGGTCTAGACTGGTGTAGATTGGCCACAGCTGTCATGCTTATCTTGGCTGGCGAGTCACTCTACTTACTGTTTGAATGCATGAGAATCTGTGACCAGATCATACAGTGTCTCACAAACAGACCAAGCATCCCTGACTGGTTAATTCACCTATCAGTCATGCCCCAGTCACCCTGGAAATTGTAGAAACAGGATATGGTTCCAGGCTTATACGTCTTTAAGTACTGTAAAACCGTGTGGTCTTGGCTGGCCAGGCAAGTGCTCACCACCACCATGAGAGTGAATAATGATTAAAGCACTACTGTGTAGTGCTCTGAGAGGCTCTTCAGGCTTTCAAATCACAATACATTATTATCAAAGAACTTTTAATTGATGCAATACAAGAAAGTGTATATCATTTAGATGGTTCATAATAATTAACAGTGAGAATAAGTAAAACTGTGTGTTAGCCGTTATCCGTATAGCCATCTATCTCTTTATCTCTGGGCCTGTATTTGATGAATAAATATAATATGTTGCAGACAATGCATTTAAATGCCCAAAATGTAAATTAAAGCTGGAACAGAGTGTTTTCTGTTTGAGAGAAGAACTTTGCCTAAATATGCAGCATTTGTGTGTTAGACATGTGTGAATGAAACAAAGCCCAACTCCAAGTATGTTTTGGACAAGAAGCAGCATTAGAGCATAGATCAGAAAATTGTGTAATATGGGCCCTTTAAGAAAAAAGCAAACAACATTGTTTGATTGACAGAGGTGAACCTGCTCCCTCTCAGGTTACAGATCACTGGGGTCATATTGATTCAGCCCACAGACTTCACACAGGGCAAAGTGGAAAAGATTTAGAGATCAATTTGCATTAGCATAATCTTCATCATTAGCAATATCTGCTACAGTTAGCATTAGCATCAGAAAGACTACGGTAATAGTCCTCACACAGTGATTGATGTACGAGATGTCTGCCTGCCAGTCATTTGCATATTGATTTCATATAAAGATACTGTAAACCCTCTGTCTTATCCAGGTTTATCTTTATAGTGTAAACATCCATATAAAAACTGAAAATATGATATTTTGATTTGATTATTTTTAATTGCTTAGTATTTACAAACTTTTAAATGAGCCTGTAAACTTAAATCTTCATGTGTACATGATGACAGTAGTCACCAAAATCATTTTATTGTTGCCTAGTTATTAGGTCTGCAAGATGAATAACAATCAATTAAATCTAAATCACAATTTGAATGAATGCAATTAGAAAATCAAAAAGGCTGCAATTTTTGAAGTACCGTATCATAATTTCCTCCACATATCCTCTCTTCTGCATAAAAACTGGTAACCCTGTACAAATAAGTTATGAATTATGATTCTTGTTTTAGTTTGTCAGTTCCTATTTTTGTCCTTTAGTCAGTTCATCTGTGTTTAAAGGTCCTATATTGTGCAAAATTGACTCTTGTCACCTTTAAGCCAATGCTGTTACCTGATCAAAAACAAAAGTTGTGTCTTGTTTCATTCACTCACACATGTACATGAGTATTATTAGTCTGCTATTAGTCTGTTTATATCTCCAAAGCTCAAAATGCTCTGATCCACCCTATGATGTCATGTAGTGGTAGTTAACAACTTCATTTTATCTTTAGTTCAGTAAAGATTAGAAATTATAGTGTTTGAAATCATCCAAATGACTCTAGTGAAGGTGTATGGAATTTAAAAACACAGTGGAGCACTTTCTGTATTACTACATGACATCACAAGGTGGAACAGACTGTTTTCTGTTTTAGAGAAGTGTGAATGAAACAAAACTCCAGGTATGTTTTTGATGAGGAAACAACATTAAAATCTAGATCAGAAATAGATAATGGCTCTTTAATATGTAAACTTTGAACTGGATCTTATTATTATTGCAAATCTAATTGCAATCGCCATCCTTGTCAGAAAAGTCACAATTACTTTTTTTTCCTCAGATCGTTCAGCCCTACAGTTTACTTACTATTGCTGTCTACTTTGTCTCTTTCAGTATTGATCTGTATAATGCATGTTAACCTGCCCGGTAACACCAGACTCCAGCAGTCTCCGCCCCTATCTCAGATTTACGACTCCTGAAGATTTATGAACCAATGCACCAGGAATAAACCGCCATCTCTCCTCCCACTCAGCACATCACCATCACACCATTTTGATTGAACATTTTAACATTTTCTCATACCCTCGTAGAATCAGTCAGGTTCAGAAGTGGGTAAAGTAGCCATGTTAGCAACGTTGTACTCAAGTTAGATTACTGTTTCTTCAAAATAATACTGTATTACTCAAGTAGAAGTACAAACTAGTGGACCATGACATTACTTAAGTAAAAGTAGTGGGGAAACTACTACTCAAGTAAAAGTGACTGTCTGAACATAACCACTGATTTAGGGTTATATCCTCTTACCTGGCCACTCCCCCCTCATGTCATCTGTAATGATATTTTGAAATGTCAGAATTTTGAACCCACTGAGTACTTTCTCTGATTATTGCCCGTTATAACTTCAAGAAACACCATCCCTCCTCCTCATTTTACATGTATGTATTTTTATTTTTGAATAGTGACTGCAGAACATTTTTAACTCTACTCCAGTCTGAGCTTTTTTTTAAATTCCATGTACATACAGAGAAGTGGGTGGAGATAGAGGGTAGGTGAAAACATATTTTCTGAGCACTCGGGATTACTCAAAACCTTCAAACTTTTCATGAAACTCTACCCAGGGTCCTGTCTGATTTTGGGCTGATCTGAATGCATCGATTACCCGGGTGCAGTCCTCGTCGTCTCTCTCTCTCCTTTTACAGTAATGGAATCCTGTATCGACATTGGTCTGGGGCTGGTGCCATGACTGTGCACTTTTCCTCCATTTCAAACACGGAGCTTCCTGTAATGTGCGTTTAGAGCCCCATGATCCGGTGTCTCTGCGGTACACTTGTATGTTGGGGCTATATGTTACTACTGCAGCATGTACATCAATAGAGACATGGTTTCTATTTGAAATTATCTCATAAAATGATGACAAGGACACACTTGTCTTATAACGTGATAGGTTGTAGATATTCTAGATGAAAAATGACGGTATTTGGTGTACCATTTCCAAGCCTGGT